TTCATGTACTAATTCATTCTCTCAATTTTGATTTAACAACAATCACTACAAGACTGCCATGATTTAATAAACAGAAAACTGTTTGGTGTTTGTCAAGCAATGTCATTCGTTTATGGCCGAACACTGCTACCGCGGCAATTCTACTCGGTTATCTTATAAAACAATACAAAATTATAAAGCAATTAATTGAACGCTTGCTATGTTTTGCAACAGATCTTTTATCTGACTTGTGTCACTGTTCCAATTTCAGATGTACATTCAGCTGGCAGAGGATGACAAAGTCCGTTACAAGAACGAAATAAAATCGTGGGAGGAGCACATGATAGAGATCGGAAGGGAAGACCTTGTTCGGAGAAAGGAGAGGAGAGCCATCAAAGCCAAAACCACTAAAGACATAAAGAAGAAATCCAAAGTAAGAGTGCTAAAGGCAAAAGCACCAAAAAAGAAGACTGGAACAGCAGTGAAAAAGACTGTGGAGAGCACCAAGAAGTGAAATGATGTTTGTTAGACAGAGCGTGTTGTACAAAGGCCAGTACCGTCCTCAATAAAAAGCTGCATTTATAGTGCTCAAAGCATGAAGGTTTTAAAACTGTGAAGAGTCCTTCATGACGTCTCATCCCTTTTTGCTGGTTTCATTTACTCAATAGTTTAGGTCCTGATTACGACTGTTTTTATTGTACTTGTATTGCTTTTAAGCTACTCAAGACCTCTGTTTCTTGACTGGCTATGAAACGTAAGACTGACATCAGTTTCCATTTGCTTCTTAGAATGAGTTTGTGTATCATGCTTTAAAAGAGGATGCCATGGTTTGTATAATGTCTTTACTTACAAAATAAACATGAACATTTTCTATAAAAGCAACAGGAGCTATTTACAAAAGAATGCTACACAACTTCATCAAAACGTTTAAAATTTCATAAGTGTGCTAAGGTTAGAGATATAATACAACCCAAAGTGAAAAATAAGTCATTTACTCGACCTCACACTCCAAGTCTGTATGACTTTCTTCATCCTGTATAAAACAAATTCAGATATTTTAAAGAATGTCTGAGCTGCTCTTTTCCTCAATCACCAAATGGGCAAATTAACATATTACATTATATGGAGGGAAAATTAAATTTCTCTTATAACATGAAAAGTGAGTACATGACAATTTTCATTTTTAGGTGAACTATCGCTTTAAATACAAATCAAGTGGCCTCAGGTTTAGGCTGAATATTATCTTATTATGCAATTGTCAACTCTGCATGAAACCTCACATTTTTTACATTTAAGAACAGTTATTTAAAATATAGTTTTAAATATTCTCGTGGGATAAAATCAGGACTTTGAAGCCAAGCTGGGATCAGATGGCAGTTTTGCTTCTTGCGGCAAAGTCTCAAAATCAGGTGAACACACCAGTTTGTGTGTGATGTTTCCAAGCACAGTCATGTCTTGTAAATATTGGCATCGGCCCGATATGAAAAATTATGCCGATATGTCTTGCCGATAAGAGGATTAACTCACATGTGCTCAGGGTGTCCTAGCCATTAATCAAGTCAGCAGTGTGTTCATTCTTGAAGCAAACGTTTGCCTTAAAGATTATTAGATTCACTGTTTTGGATTACTGCATTTAATTTGAGAATTCATGTACAAGATGATGCGTTCTAATGCCTGTCCAGTAAGGCGTTGTATTTACATAGAGGGGTGCTGTTGGCCTACTTGTAACAAAATGAAAGTAAAATACACAAATATCCTTAAGAAACTTGTGTTTCTGAATAAATAAAGCAGTATTAATGTCATAAAATCATGAGTATATTTTAATGCAAAGGTCAGAAGCTACAGCTTTGTAACATGACGCTTGTAAATTAAATCATTTTATATATACAGATTTATTCATTAATGTGTAATATGTTTGTTTTTTTAAAAAGAATCATGAGCTTTAAAAGATTTAGAAAATGTATACAATTCTTGCCTTAGACCATCTACAAATGTTAAATCTTAAAATAATATTTTAAGGTTACCACTGGCATCTTTCTGAAAAAAAATAAAATGCAGCGATTGATATATAGCTGATTTATAATTATTTTCAAAGCTTTCAATGTACTGTCATTATAAAAGAACTTCATTATTATTTAATTCGAACAAATTAAAAGTAATTATATTTAACATTTCCGCACAAGAGAGACTTGGTGTTGTTTCCAAACAAAAATAAATATATCGGCATCGGCTATCGGCTAAAATGAGTTGAAAAATATCGGCATATCGGATATCGTCAAAATTCCAATATCGTGCATCATAAAAAAAATTGTATCAGGTTCGATTTTCTGCGTTTTCGCATCCGTAGCAAGCATTTTGATAGGAAAGGATGACGAATACGAAAAAACGCATACGAAAATTTTGGACTCGGTGTGCAAGGACCTTTAGGGTCAAAATTCCAATATCGTGCATCCCTATCCGAAACTTTCGTCCATCATAAAAAAAATTGTATCAGGTTCGATTTTCTGCGTTTTCGCATCCGTAGCAAGCATTTTGATAGGAAAGGATGACGAATACGAAAAAACGCATACGAAAATTTTGGACTCGGTGTGCAAGGACCTTTAGGGTAAAAAATATATATATATATCACAATACAATAAATATATGATATTTTTAAGGCATAGTATGGAATATAAACTTACCAGAGCTTTAATTTGTGATGAGCGCTTATCTAGGGTCTTGCCTTCCTTTCTGGGTTTCTCTGGGCTCGGGGGTTTAGGTTGACCAGGTATGGTATCAGGAAGTTGAATAAACAGTAGTTCTTCCTTATCCGAAACAGTCAGCTGTTGGAACAGTTCTCCAACCGTTGGCTGCTGCGGACATGAAGATGTGCCCCTCACTGGCACAGGGTATTTCTGCTCAGCTTTGGCTGATTTCAGTGCATTATCAGATGCTGTCTCTTCTATAACTGCAAAAATGCCTTGGATTTTAGTTACTTGTTTAATGTAAACAGAACAAAAACTAGCAACAAAACAAGCTAAATAAAAATGACTGTTAGCATAAACTGAAACTTACATGAACTAGCTGCATCTGTTGACAGGAAGTTGCATGACTGATAGAGTGGAAGTCTGATTGGTCTTTGCTTGGGATCATTTTTTAAATCCAGGATCATCCAAAAACTGCTCAATTATACCAGGAAAAAGCATTAAAATGCTACTGATTAACTTTCAAGACTTGTCACATGATAAAGGGTCATTGAGACGTACATCATCTCGTTGGAGTTTTTGTAAAATTTCATTATATCATCCTCTGCGTTGCTCTTTTCCTTTTTAATGCATTTTGTGACGAGTGCAGGATCACAATCACTCAGGTTAGAGCCGCTCCAATTACCTGCGAGATCAAAAACAGGCACACGAAGGTTGACTTGATGAAATTTTATTTGATATTTAATATTCATTGCACCACCATGAGTCAGCAGTAAGTGCCAATTTATTGATTTGTATAGCACTTTTCACAATACACATATCTTCATGCCTTATAGTTTCATTTGGCAAATTAGGGCTGGGTGATAATGTACAGTAGTTTGATATAAAAATCAAGCTTTTGAGACTTGCTATAATTTAAAAATCACGCTACGCAAGTATACTGTACTGTATGTATGCAAATATACTTATATATCTAACTTCATATACAGAGCTGTGCAATAAAAAAGTTCACATTTTGTGACATTATAAACTACCAAGTAGTTGTGATTTGCTATATAGTATAGATTGCTTTACATGAGTATGATGTGTATGCAGGAAATTTGGACGTACTATATATCCAACTTTTATTATTTCACTAGATAAGTCATTAAGTTTATAGGCTTTATAAGTTTAAATATTATTTATATTATATTAATAAACTGTTGTTATTTTATCAAATGAATAAATAATTTATACTTATAATGTACTTTATATAATAATAATTTATAGCATTAATATTGTAAAATATTAATAGATTTATTTTATATGCATATATTATGGCATCATAATTGTCTCAATATTAAACTGTAGGCCTATTTTAAAACTACTGTTTATTATAACTAATTTAACAAATTATATTATATTATATTATTGTTTTATATACTAATGTTATTTGATCACATTGATGAAATATTTTTAAGCATTTATATTAAATTATATATATATAAAAATATACATATTCTATACTTACAGTATCTTACTTGGTATTATGTGGTTTCTTGTATGGTGTCATAATTTAAATAAGTCTTATTAGACTGTAAATTGTATTTTATAACTACTGTTTATTATAACGAATGTAATAAACTATATTATGTTATTTTATATTATATATTTATTTTATTTTGTTTATATTTGTTGTTATTTTATCATGAAATAATTTTAATGCATTTACATTATAAAATTATATAGTATTTAAAACATAATAGTGTGTATACACACACATACTCACGGTCTTATCATTAAAATATGTATTATTAATACTTTTATTAATATGAATCCTCTTTTAAATATTATACTATTCATAATATTAATACTATTATAAATCACCACTCATCTGATAAATCATGCTCGAGTAATTCTGTGTTCTCATGGTACAACTTAAATGAAAAAAACTTCCTACAATAATAGGAAGTTTCTATTATAATAAAAATACAAATATAACGATAATAGCCAAACATTAACATAAAAACGTTCAAATGTAAAAGTGTAAAAAAAAGAGTTATATAAATAAATAAATTAAAAATGAAAACAAAGTATTTGTAAACAGTACCCTTGCATGGTGTCTCAAAACTCAAAACGTGAGCTGCTTATCTAGACATATTTGGGGGCATCATATGCTGACTCCTAACGGGCCAAAAATGGTGTTTAGAAGACAACTCACTAAGTTTTGTGACAGACCCCTTCCATCCACCCTTCCTCTGGCTCATACTGAACAAAGGGCGGCGCTCTGCTTTTGCCTGCCCTCACTTTATAGTCCTCCGGTCAATGTAACGTCAAGTCACACAGAGCCCGTGGCCGCGATGACTGGCGCTCACTCTCCGCGGGAATGATCTGATCTGACGGCTGCGGAGAGTCAGCGGTGCTCTGTGAAGTCATGGCCGCTCAGTGTGAACCCTTAAGCGGATACTTACAGCAGTCCGATCCGGGCTCCAACAGCGAGCGCAGCGCGGATTCCCCTCTGCCCGTGTCTGAGGATGACTCCAGCGGCCCCACGGCGCCTCCGGACCCCGAGTGGACCGAGGAGAGGTTTCGAGTGGACCGGAAAAAACTGGAGATCATGCTATTAGGTAAAACTGTTGTTGCCATGACAACTCTCACCAATTTTAGAGAGTTTAGAAAGAGTTTGAAAGAAACAAACAAACACTCTGCAAGTAAAAATGCACAATTGCTGTTAATCATTGTTATATAACTGAACAAAATACTGTAATGCATTGCAGTTATGTTTCTCTTTTCTTTTGTTCAACTCCAACTATAGTTTGGAAATGGATATATCTGTCATTTAAACATATTTAAGGATTGATTGTTCAAATTATTGGGGGTATAGTTTTTCTGATTTGTAATGTACGCCTGTAAAATACCTACCTTTTCCACAACATTATTGAATATATGCTTTTTATTTAGTTTTTCTGATATTCAGGTGTGTAGTGTAAAATCCCAGTTTTGTTTTGATGTAAAAAAGAGAACTGTACTGTATTCTTTCACAGTATGTGTGTAGTGACCAACTCAACCAATAGGGGGCGCAAATGTTAACGCATTTCTGCTTTTGACATTAGCCTTGAATGTTGTGTTTTCAAGTCAAGTCTGCTTTATTGTCAGTTCTTCCACATGTACAGCACATACGCACAGAGTTTTCCTCAATTTGTTGAAGTAATTTTAAAACAAGCGACACTGTGATCAGCTGCTTCAGAAGAGTGGAAGATGGAGTTAAATTCAATTTTTGGACAATGAGTTATCACATTTTTGGCTTATGATTCTGACTGCATGTGGGTTTCACATAGTAGAGTTAGGACTGAGCAAAGAACATGTTGTATTGGTTTAAAGTAGAGACACAAATCATTTATAAATGCCTTTTTTAATCTGTTGTAGTTTTGTTTTTCAACTAGTGAATTTATCAAGCAGTTGATACAAATCGACAAGGACTTCTCATTCTCTCGGCTCTGTAGGGATGGTAAAACGCTTTGAAGCTCTCAGTTTTAATACTTTGTCCATGTCGGGTCATGCTTTCCATGTTGTTTCATGGCTCTGAGTGACTTCAGACAGGGACATCATCGTCATCATCCTACACTCACAAAGTCTCTAAGTTCAGTTCACCACAGCAATCCTTCCTGCTGAGGACATTCAGCATCTCCTAGGTTTTAGAGTGTATTTGATCAACCTGCTTGCTGAAGGAATGCTATTAGGTTTGGGATTTTCCTAGAAGACGCACAGAGAAGCTTGTGTAAATTATGGGGATATATTTTCCAAACTAAATGATAGGAATTCAGCATCACTCAATTCGATATAAGATCAGTAAAAACTACACTGTAAAAAACATTCCGTAAAATTTACGGTAAAAAAAACGGCAGCTGTGGTTGCCGGAATTTTACCGTAAAAAAATACGGTAGCAACGTTTTAGGTTTTACGGTTTTAACTTAAATTTACAGTTAAATACCGTATTTTCATTAACTGATATAATGTTAACATACCAACCTATTGAAGTACTGAAATCTGTTTTGTATCTTTGTAATACACTGATAACCACCAAATGCAAGTGGTGATGAGAAAGTCACATGATGAACCAAAGCCCATCACAAGCAGTTTTTAAATAATAACATATATAGAAGGTGCACAGTGTCATCCACACAAACACTAAACACCATCATGGTAACACACATGACACTGAAATAATGCAATAAACATTCATTTAACAACATTAGGTGTAACACACAACCCTAATATACAAAACTGATAAGAAAAAACTAAGAAGAAACTGTTATTTCAACAAAAAAACATCAAATTTGAAATGTAACGCAGGGAATTCTGGGAATGTCAATTTACGGTTATTCACTGTAAATTATAGTCTTTTTCACTTCCAAAAACATTAACCATTTAACAGGTTTTTACTGTAGCATTTTTACAGTCTTTTACCGTTAAATTCACGGTCATTTTTTACAGTGTAGAATCACAAACATGACCTTGTGTTACATATCCAAACCAACCCTTCTATGATCCATAGAAGTAGAAAGCACTTTTATTGTGAGAGGGGGGGAAAAAATACATTTTTGTTTTTCTTTGAATAAACATTCTATTATGTCATATTGTACAATTTCGTCAATGGATGTATACTTCATTGGCAGCTGTTACAAGATTCTGTTGTTGTTGTTGTTTTTTTTAAAGAAGGACTCAAAAGTTGTTAATCATAATAGCAATTTTCACATATTTTAAAGTTGCAGGTGACTGGAAAGAACTGCTCACCGTCTTGTTTTCAGAAATGTTAACATCACAGGCGTTCGCTCCAAAAGCACTTAGTCCATCACATATAACAAGAACAGTTAAGCAACATTCAAGACTGATTTTATTAAGCTTATTTTACCTCTTGGATGAGAACAACTATTAATCATTTCATTGTATAACTATTTTAGCTGGCTCATGTAGAGGAATGGCTCACTGTCATTATGGAATTATCTGAAATCAGTAATGAATCACATAAAGGATGCCTGAAATTGTTTTCTGTTCCAGATGTGTATTAATTATTAAATTTGTGTAGATTATGTCGAGAAGGAATGTGTTCATACCAAGATGAATTGTGAGCTGTGTCTGTTTAATCTTACGTTCACCGCACCAGTGTCCAAATGATATACATGCTTATGTTCCTGAGGATCAGCACCCATATAATGCAATATAATACATATTACATTCAATATTTAATTATGCATGATCATTTCGCGAATATTTATATTTTAATTGCCTTCTAAAGCTCACAAGTTAATCATTCAACACATCAATTATTTTTATTATTTTATTCAGACAAAATAGTAGCGAATTTTAATATCACTTATCAGCTATAGCATGAAAATAATTATTGATAGGTATATTGGTATGGGACAGAATTTTAGAATTGGTGCATACTGCATACATAATAATTTTGTTGCATTTTAGGATGCAAGTTTCTGTTTTTTCATTATAGTATTTCATTATCTTTCATTAATATTAAAAATATATAAATCAATTAGTCATTGGTAAAGATAAATAGTAGCTACAACTGAACTAATTCCTTCTTTATGCAAAATTTTTGGCTTATTCTTGTAACATCCTGCTTTATTTACTCTGAGACCAAATGGTAAAGAGACTCATGGAAACAAGCGAGATGGATTCAGAGTTGGGAGCAGTCAACCCAATTGTTCACGCTATACTGTAGGAAAGCAGTGGTGACGCTGAAAGCCCTCTTCATGGGTCAAAATAAGTGTTTAGCAGTCACTGACTGCGTATTTTGGAGATTGTTTATTATTACAATTTCTTGACTTTGTAGATAGAGTTTGCTCAATAAAGGAGTAGTTCCCTCTGTCCAGTCTACATCAAGGACTTTGGGTTTTTCCAAATTTCCAAAGCTCAGATTGTTTTGCATTACGTGTCTTAGATGAGATGGAAACGGTTTCTCTTCCCAAACCTTGGCTAGAGATTTGCAAAAGTACCCTTGCAAAAGAAATTCCCAAACAAGTTTACATGACAGCTCACAGAGTCAACGTCTTTGATCAGTGTAAGTTAGACTCGGGCACCGAAGTGAACTAGCAGTCTGTTTGAGAGTCCAAACAGGAAGGGATCAAATGCCTTGTTTAACAAGCATAACTCTTATCACAGATGGGACTGATCCATTCTGGGGAGCCCAAATAAAACATTGTTGCTGCCTGGTGATTTTGTAAAACACTTCAGTTTTTATAGCGTGTTTATAATGTGGGAATTTTAGGTCAACTGTTTCACCAAGACATTAGCTTTTGGGTTTGGCTTTAGAGTTATTTTTCCCATTTTAAAGACGCCCGTTTACTAGGATTATCATTTATTTACTATGTATCCTTGCTTACTAAATTCCTAGTAAACTGAGACATTAAAATGGCCTTCTATTTATGGAAATACAAAGAGTACATTCTGAAACTGCTTGTGTGTTAAGTGTACTTTGGCTAGCTGTGTTCTGGATATGTTTGTGCGCGCGCTTGGCTCAGGCCTGGTTAAAAAGTTCATCTTTTTGTTGTCTGTTGGATGAAAGTATAGAGACAGGAAGTGAGTCCGGTGAGGAATGTGCTTGGGGCTAACTGTCCCCTGGATGGAGGCCTAGGGAAACACTGTTCTCTTTAGCTTTCAGAGGGTAAACGTGGCATTTTCCCCAAGAGAACTACTACTGAGGTCAATCGCTTGTGGCCTTGATCTTGAGTTCATAGCGGTATGGCGTTTTAAGCACATCGGACAGACAAAGCAACTCAGCTGGCACGTAGCAAGCCTAATACAATGCAAAAGGCCAATAAATGTTGGAAAGTATGGAAATCAGTCTGTAAAAGGTGGTTGAATCAAGTATATTGGGACCATTCAGGAAACCCTGGCTTGTGTTGTTCGGGTCTGAGAGACCCTTGAGAGGTGGTGGGTCGAAGAGTCCCAGTGCTCACAGCGTATAATTCACTGCAGCTGTTGGAGAGTCTCTGTTTTTAAAAAATGCTGGTGCGGACCAGAGACTTTGTTATGACAAGGAAAAGAACGAGCCATTACACTACAGCTACTAACTCAACTCATCTGAGTCGAAAACTACTATGTAGTACATATTGGATTGTCACATTTTGTTTATAGGCATGCCTGTTGTTGAGGAGACAAAAAATTATTTTATGCATTGGCATTGGCATTATATGCAAAAGTAATCAGTAATTACATTTCCTAGTTTGTGTTTAGGTGATCCTCTCAGTTCATTTAAAACAATTTTGTAGAATCCACCCAAGAGTTTCTCAGAATGAGTAATGTCACTGGCATTTTCATTTTAATGCACATATTGTGCTTAAAAATCGCACAGTTTAAGGTGTAAGTTATAGGATGAATTATTTCCAGGATTTCTGCATGCCTACTGGCTGTGGTTTCCCAGATATTGGCTTAAAGCAGCATTTAAGCTTCCTGCAGGGTCAATGACGTGGCACTTTTGTTTTGACGAGAATTTGCATTAAACATCCAGTATGTTTATGTTTAGACATGCAGTGGGAGATAGTTTTAATTTCTACTTTAATATTCATGTAGTTTTTATTATTTGTGCTATTTTTCATATTTGAATTCAATT